TGTCAGCTGACACTCCTCACTGTAGGTTCCTTCTTGAAGACAGGTGTGTGCCGCCACTCCATGGCTGCCACAGATGTATATGTACACCTCAGGAAGGATGTAAGGTACAACACTGCATACCGGCTACTCCGGAAGACAGGAAATGGGTGGCTGGACCCCAGAAGTGGGAGGCAGACTTTTCACCATGTCCTCCTTCCCACTATTTGAATTTTTTTTCAACATTTAATTGAGTGGCATTTAGTGTGTTCAAAATGTCATGCACCACCACCTCTGTCAGTTCCAAAACATTTTCATCACCCCAAAATGAAACCCTATACCCATTAAGCAGTGACTCCCCATTCCCTCTTCTCCCTCCCTCCCTCAAATGCTGGCAACCACCAGTCTGCTTGTCGTCTCTGTGGATTTGCCTATTCTGGGTATTTCATATAAATGGAATCATACAATACCTGACCTGTTTCATCTGGCCTCTTTCACTTAGCATAATGCTTTCAAGGTTCATTCATGTTGTGGCATATATTGGTACTTCATTTCTTTTTATGGCTGAATAATATTCCACTGTATGAATATGCCCTAATTTGTGCATCCATGAATTCATTGATGGACATCTAAGCTATTTCCACCTTATGGCTATGTGGATTAGCACTGCTAGGAATGTGCGTGTCTGTGTATTTGGTTTTTGGCTATACACCTAGAAGTGGAGTTGCTGGATCATATGGTAATTTCATGCTTGACTTTTGGAGGAAATGCTGAACTATGTTCCAAAGCGGCTGCATTGTTTTACACTCCTATTGAGGTTCTGATTTCTCCACATCCTCACCAACACTTGCTATTTGTTTGGTTTTTGGATAGTGGACGTCCTAATGTGTAGGAGATGGTATCTCATGGTTCTGAGTTGCATTTCCCTTATGATTAGTGGCCTTGAGCATCTTTTCCTATGCTTATTGTACATTTGTATGTCTTCTTTGGAGAAATGTCTGCTCAGGTCTTTTGCCCATTTTTTGGTTGGTGTGCTTGTCTTTTTGTTGGTAAGCTGTTAGAGTTCTCTATATAATCTGGATACTAGGCCCTTATCGTCATTTGAATTTTATTCCATGTAAATTTGTCACCACCTCAAAAAGGAAATAAAATGTAAGATGCTAAAGAATAAAGAAGTCTTGACTGTGGACAATAAGTGCATATGGAAGCCAGGGGACTAGTGGCTAAGCTATCTCAGTGTCCAGGCTGGAGACGGTGGTGGCTTAGGCACGGTGGGGACAGTGGGGATGGAGAGAATTGGGAAATGTGAGATGGGAATATGGTTTGGATATAGGGGTGTGAAGACAGAAAAGGAGGAATCAGGGTTCTTGTTTGAACTTCTGGGTGGGAGTGCCATTCACCTAGAGGAGGGGCAGGCTTGGGACAGGGTGTAGGAGTGAGGAATGAAGGGCTTGGCTTTGGGCATGTTAGGTCTGAAGCACCTGTGAGTCACCTAAGTTGCGAGGCTGCACCGGGAATGTGATCTGTGAATGTGCAGTTTAGATTTCCTGCTGATCCTTTCCCCTCAAAATACTGCCAGTATCTGTAGAGGACAACTGGCTGTTTCCAGGTGGGGAGAGGAGGCAGACATGCTCCTGGGAGGGCAGAGAGGAGGAAAAAGGCCTGACGTCAGATCGTGGTTGATTCAGGTGCCCACCCAAGGGGTCTTAAGCTTGAGAATGGCATGACACGGTTTGTATCATGGAAAGATCTCTCTGGTGGCAACAGGACAGACAAATGGGAGGGAGGTCAGAAGGAGGCACAGGGGAGAGTATGGGAGTGGAAGCAGCACAGGGCCCGTGGCTGTGGAGATGAGGGTATGGCCTGGATATGGCTGGAATATGGGATGGGGAGGGCTGGGCGGGCTACTGAGCCACTCCCCGCTTTCTGGCCTGAGTTTCTGTGCAGGCGATGGCACCAAGTCCCAAATGGAGGAGGAAGGGCAGGCTGTGTTGGAGGACAAAGAAGGAAGCCAATCCTTAAGTAGCATAAACCTGACTCTGTTTTCACGGACAGGACTGTTGTGGTGAGAATTCGTTTCTCATGCTGGCTCTCGCCACACCACACAGCAGTCTTGTGCCGGGAACGTCAGGAGATCCTCATTCCACCAGGGTCAGCGACTCTTCCCTTCCTGGCCCCCACATCAGCCCTGTCACCTTAAATATGCTGCCGTCACACATCTCCCTTCAGCCACCTTCCTGACCCTGCTGCACACACCCCTGCAATGTCTGTCGCCCTGTCCCCACCTTCAGTGCCCCCATCTGTCCTTGACACAGAGGCCAGTCTACATCCTTACATTCTGCCATCAGTTACTGCCTTCTCCCCCACTCTCACGTTACTGCCTTCTCCCCACCCTCTTGTCAAAATCCAGTGACTTTTGCTGCCTGAGAGTTAAGCTTCGTGGTCCTCACATTCTGAGCTCCCCCTTCTTTTCACTTGTTAATGTATTTATCTTCTTTCCAGGCCCAGCCAAAGTCCTTTCCTCCTGCAACCCTCCTCCCTCAAAGCAGCCCTCCACGAAGCCTTCTCAGGGCACACCGAGCTCCTTTCCCTGAGCTCCGCAGGTCCTGCAGTCTGCCGCAGAATCCACACTTCCTGACGTGGGGCCCTGGGCTCTTCATTGCCTTCCCTACTTGGCTCTTGGAGGTGGACACCAAGGCTTGTGTCTAGAGTGTCCTTCACAGAGAAGCCAGGTGTGAGGGAGACAGTGACCATCTGCCTCCGCTGTCCCCGTGCCACAGCTCTGTGCTCTTGGCTCCCAACCTATCCTCCCTGGATGCTTGTCTTGATAGACAAGAAAGACTGCCCACCATAGCCCTTGGCCTGGCTCTGCTGCTCCCCAATCCCCATGGCCAGCTGTTCATTCTGAGCAGCCTTGGTGGTGTGCGAGCAGACCTGATGGAGGATCCTACACTGGGATCCCCCAGACCTCACCAGGGAATTTGGTTGCCACAGGTGGTGCAGAGCTGCATGGACAGGGATATGGCTGAGATCATCCTTCCCTTTCCCTCCTGCCCCTTCCCATCCTCCTTCCTCACAGCTGCAGCCCCTGGCTGTGAATCACAGGAAGGCAAGCACTGGTTTGTGGAAATACCTAAGAAGCCTGCTCCTCTCCTCTCCTCTCCTCTCCTCTCCTCTCCTCTCCTCTCCTCTCCTCTCCTCTCCTCTCCTCTCCTCTCCTCTCCTCTCCTCTCCCCTCCTCTCCTCTCCTCTCCCCTCCCCTCCCCTCCTCCTCCCCTCCCCTCCCCTCCTCTCCTCCTCCCCTCCCTCCCTTCCCTCCCCTTCTCTCCTAAGAAGGCCCTTTCTCTTCTCTTCTCCTCTCCCTCTCCTCCCTCCCATCCCTTCTTTTCTTTCTTTCTTTCTTTCTTTCTTTCTTTCTTTCTTTCTTTCTTTCTTTCTTTTCGTTCTTTCGTTCTTTCTTTCTTTCTTTCTTTCGTTCTTTCGTTCTTTCGTTCTTTCGTTCTTTCTTTCTCTTTCTCTCTTTCTTTCTTTTTCTTTCTTTTCTTCCTTCCTTCCTTCCTTCCTTTCTTTTTCTCTCTTTCTTTTCCTTCCTTCTTTCTCTTTCTTTTCTTTCTCTCTCTGTTCTTTCTCTCTCTCTTTTCTTTCTTCTTTCTTTCTTTCTTTCTTTCTTTCTTTCTTTCTCTCTCTCTCTTTCTTTCTTTTCTCTAAATATTAACTGGAAGAGCTTAGGCTCAAGAGTTGGGAGAAAATCATTACTTTCCTCAGTAAAACTAAAGCTCAGACCTTCCAGGTTTAGCTACAATGGAAGATTTTCTACAAAGAGGGTGGGGGCATTTTCACTCGAATCTCTGACTCTTCCTCCCAGCATCAGTTTCCACTGGGCTCTCTCCTTCCAAACTGATCACACAAAAAGTGTGTTTAAACAAGAAGTGACTGAAAGCTTGGGGATACCTAAGAGTTAGTCTGTTTACACAGACAGTGAGATGGCTCAGCCTGGCTGTGTAGACGTCACCTGCTCATTGGCCCTTAGGCCAAGGCTTACTGGAGCTACCAAGGAGTCTAGAATCCTCCAGTTCCCCGCTTGGATCTCATATGGACCCCCACCCCTGGAGGAGGAACCCACAATGCACCAGCCATTTAGTCCTCACAAGCAGGCAGGGTGGAGTTGGGCAGGATTCAAAATGAGGTGGGCTGAGAGGCACCACCTCAGCTGACTCCCCACAGAGGATGAGGGGCTGCTGTTGTGCTGGTGTGACATGAGGGTCACTGGACTGACCCTCTTGTCCTCAGATCATCTTCTCTCCTCCTTCTCAAGGTGCCTAAAATGGCTCCATTCAGGATTTGCGCTGCTGAACTTATAGTGTTTTGGCCTTCAAAAATTCCCTAATAAACGCAAATACTCCATAGTCTGGTAACACTTTCCCTTTGACTGATGAGTCTGGATGAGGCAGAAAAAAAGAGAGTTTTATTTTAACCATTTTAAAGTGCACAATTTAATGACTTCCAGGACATTGACAGTGTTGCACAACCATCACTTCTAACTCCAGAACATTTTCATCACCCCAAAAAGAAACCCTATACCCATTAAGCAGTAACTATCTATACCCCCCACTCCAAAGTTCCTGGCAGCCACACATCTAGCTGCTTGCTTTCTCTTCCTTTTTTTTTCCTTCCTTCCTTCCTTCCTTCCTTCCTTCCTTCCTTCCTTCCTTCCTCCCTCCCTCCCTCCCTCCCTCCCTTCCTTCCTTCTCTCTTTCTTCTTATTTCTTTCTTCTCTTTCTTTTTTTTGAGACAGAGTTTCGCTCTTGTTGCTCAGGCTGGTGTGCAACGGCACAATCTCAGCTCACTGCAACCTTCACCTCCCAGGTTCAAACAATTCTCCTGCCTCAGCCTTCCGAGTAGCTTGGATTACAGGCATGCGCCACCATGCCTGGCTGATTTTATATTTTTAGTAGAGACGGGGTGTCTCCATGTTGGTCAGGCTGGTCTCGAATTCCCAACCTCAGGTGATCCACCTGCCTCGGCCTCCCGCCTCCCAAAGTGCTGGGATTACAGGCGTGAGCCACTGGGCCCAGCTCACGAATCTGATTTCCGACTCTATGGATTTGCTTATTCTGGTCATTTTGTATAAATGAGACCCTATAATATATGTCCTTTTGCATCTCACTTCAACTTAGCATCTTGCTTTCAAAGTTCATCCATGCTGTAGCGTGTATAGTACTTCATTTTTATGGCTGAATAATATTCCATTGTTTGGATATATCACATTTTGTTTATCCGTTCATCAGTTGATGGACATTTGGGTAGTTTGCACGTTTTGACTATTAGGAATAGAACTGCTGTGAACTTCCATGTACCAGTTTTTGTTGGAACACCTGTTTTCGATTCTCTTGGATCTATACAGTACCTAGGAGTGGAATTGCTGGGTCATGTGGTAACTCTACCTTTGACCTTTTGAGGAATTGCAGACTGTTTTCCAGGAACAGAGAGTTTTAAGAGTGAAATGTTTTGAGAGGGGAGAGGAAGCCCAGACACTGGTGCTGCCAGCGGGTGAGAAGGTTAAACAAGGAGCTCAAAAGGGGAAGAGGGGAAGGTTCAAGGCAAATTACCCAACTTTCCAGTCTGTCCCAGAAGCTGGATGACCATGGTAGTCAACAGCCACATTTCTCCCCAGATCCTTCCCATCTCTCTGCCTACCGCCCAGTGCCTGGCACAGAGTGCTTGCTGGTAAACACTGGTTGGACACATAGCTATCTACTGAGCACCAGCTCTGAACCTCACTCTAGTCCCTCCATCCTCCCTTCCGTTTTCTCCGAATGTCTCCATCTTTACCTCCTCTGGCTTGAAGCAGAGCTTTGTTCCAATGTCCTAGTTGTGTCTTGGGCATACGAGTGCAGCAGTCAGGGACCTCCTTACCCTTTCCAGAGCATGGTGCATTTGGAGGCTGGGCGCTTACAAGGTGAAGGCAAAGATGCAAGCCAGGGAGCACACATTGAGATGGAGGAAAGAGACTGTGACTCGAAGCATAATTACTCACAGGAGTTACAGCAAGGGGGCATCCTGGGCAGCATGAAAAGTTGGATTGCTTTGCAGTGCTTAACTGTGAGGCTGGTGTGAGTGCTTAACTGTGAGTGCTTAACTGTGAGGCTGTGAGTGCTTAACCCCTTCCTCTTCTGCCTCTCCTCAACCTGCCTGTCTGAAGAAATTGCCAGCTCCCTCCAGGTAAGAGCAACCAGCAGCCTAGGATGGAAGTTGAGGAGAAGACACAGGCCTCAGAGCTGGGGAGTGGGGAAGGGCGAGGGGAGTAGCAGGGTCTGAGAGATTGAGAACCCAGAGGGAAGTAGTAAGGAGAGAGGAAGATCTCAGGTGAGGGCTGGCAAGCTGAGGGTAGGGGCCACACACTGGGACATTTGGAAGGTCTTCCCCCTATTTACTGGGTCATTGTTTCCTACAGCCTACTTTTCTCAGGCTATCCAAAGCGAGTCTTCTAGAATAGGACCCAGATCATGCCACTCCTGCACCCCAACACTTCTGCGATTTCCCATCTCACTCAGATTAAAAGCTAAAGACCATAAGATGGCCCACCCAGCCCTCCATAATCTGGCCCCCCAACCAGACCCTCCACTCCTTCTCTGACCTCTTCTCTGCCCTCTCCCCCTCTTTCCCTCAGCTCCAGCTTCCCTACCTCCTGCTGCTCCTGAGACCTGCCTCGGGGCCTCTGCATGCCCTTTTCTCTGCCAGCTAAACCTTCCCCTGATGCCCATGTGGCCAGGAGCCTCACTTTCTGCACTTCTCTGCTCAAATGCCACCATGTGGGCGAAGCTTTCCTTTACCACTGTTCATAAAATGGAAACTCTACCCCCACCCTTTGCACCTTCTAATCCCCATTCTATGCAGTATTTTTTCTCTACAGAATGCACGATCTGGCACCCTTTAGATTTCCTTTGCTGTCTGTCTTTTTTATTAGGATGTAACTGCAGAAAGGCAAAGAGTCTATTTCGTTCTCTGATATATCCCCAGTCACTAAACCAATATTGGGCACACAGTAGGCCTTCAATATCGTGAAATGGATGAATAAACAAATAAATTATTGAAAACATTTTTTTTCCGGAAATCAATATATTTATGTAAGAAAAGTCTTAAAAATCACTTGGATTCTTAGCGCCTTGTTTTGTTTCAAAACTCATCATGGAAAAATAATTTTATTTTCTCGGTTGGGAACTACAACGACAGGCGGTGGCCAGAATCTCTGGGTGCCTGTCTCTGATCACACTGTGCCTTTCTCCAGTGTCTTAGGAGAGGCATCATCCCACAGTAGAGGCCACTGTGCATGAGGTGCTGCTGCTGCAAGTTGCCTGTCGACTCTGTAACCATCACCAGGAGTTTTCCTCCCGCTAGCGTGCTGCCAAGTATTGTCTCTTCTCATAGATCACGCTGGCTAAATCTGAGGTCAGAATTCAGGGGAAATTCTTCTGAAATTTTGGAACCAGGGAAGACCACATGGCTGCCCACCCCAGAGAGGGCCTGACCACAGAACCCAGAACGTCTGACACAGTGAGCCTTCTTTGCTCTGGGAGACCTGCTACCCTCTATGGGCCACAGAGCCAAACTGTAGCTTAGTTCCCTGCTTTGCATTTGGGGAGAGTGTGAGATTTGCACCCAAACTGGCCAAGATACTTAATGTTGAGGTCAGCTAAGAGAAGTGCGAGGAGTGTGTGGGGGGGTCGGGGGAGGAGAGAGAGGGAGAGAGAGAAAGATTGCAAGAGCGTCTGTGTTCTTGTGGTCCGGTGGGGGTAGATGGTGATGGCTCAGGGCTGGGGAGGAAGAGCACATGCGTTTGGGAGTTAGTAGTCAGTGCAATGTGGGTTCAGGTCCTAGCCAGCCCTCTATGACATGTACAACGATGGGAAAGTCATTTCACTTTTGGTAAGTGTCCCGTTCATGAGCTGTCAAATGGTAGGGGTTTGGCTAAATAATGCTTCAGATACCTTCTAGTTAAAAAAGAAGAAAGAAAAAAAAGCACAAAAATTCTATAGTCTCAATATCCAAGGCTGTATTTAGGCCACTACACATTGTCCACTGAAGATTTTTTAAATATGTCTTCGGCCATGTTAAGCTGAATATTTCTACTGTCTCTGGAATGGAGGTTGCACTTTGGAGAACTGGGAGGTTGAAGGGGAGTCTTTTCCCTTCCTGCTCACCCTGTCTGGGTCCACTGACCCCCTGATTATAAAGTAGAGGGTGTGAGTGCGTGAGTAAGTGAGTGTGAGTGTGTGGCAGTGGAACGTGCCAGAATGACAGGCTCCCAGCCATGGTCTCTGGGTAGGCAGAAAATGTGCAGAAAAGACGATGTCCATCAGCGTGGCCCTGGCAAGGGGAGCTAGCCTGTGCTTCTCACACTCAGTGTGCTGCTGCTCCTCAGGACTGGCTGCATCCTGAGGCTGGGCTGGCAGCCTCTATTGTTTCTCAGGATCCCAGCAAAGCTGCCGGAAGGTGAGGGAAAGAAGGGAGTGAGTCTGCCTCCTCCTCTGTTTGACTCATGGTCACTTGTCAGCACATTGACAAGTTTTTTGTTTTTCAGTCAAATGCCACTTTTGTTGGATGTCTGAGTGAAAAGCATGGTACACTCACATAATCAAAGCCCTGCCGTGTGTGGGGAGCGGGGTGAGGGGCAGTCAGTCTTTATTGTGTGAGCAATTGTATATTCCTGAAAGCCAGAATAATTTGAGGCACAAAATCTAAATAGATTTCTGCTGCTATTAGATTGCTTGAATGCATTTTATGAGAGAGATTGAGAGAGAGAGAGAGAAGCAGCTGCTTTTGCTGGTCCTCCCCCTGACCTTTGAGATGGTTGGCAGCTCACCTTGCAGGGGACAGTGGTTCGGGCGGGGAGGAGCTGTGTGGTGTGGGCGTGGGATGCCCAATGCTCCTCCAGGACAAAGGCTTTGTCTTCATCTCTGACCTGCAGTGTCCTGCGTCATCTGGGGCTCATCCTGGGCATTCTGGAGGTGCTGGTGAAGGACTAACTGGGAAAGGGCAGGACAAGGAATGAGTGTGTGCATATCTGGGGCCCCAGAAGGCTGTGGGGGCAGCTGCGTGGCTCTGGCCTGTTACCAGTAGGCTTTCTGACCCCTGGGCTGTATCCATCAGGGTCACCAATGATACTCACTGACCTTAGGCTCCCCAAGTTGAAGCTCATGTCCTCAGGCCACATCAAGGTGCAGCCATTCACTGACCCTAGCATCACCCCACTTTGTTTCTGCACTGAACCCCTGCTGCTCTGTCACCCTCTCAACTGTGCCAACTGCAATTCTTTAGCATCCATGGTGATTTCAACAGCCATGGGAGATGGTCCGTTAACATCCTGTCCTCTCATTCCTTGGTACCCTCTCCCACCTAGACCCTAGACCATCCTGTTACTAAGAACTGCAAAACCTTCATAACTTCTTCACTCATCTCCCAACTTCTCAGCTCTGCTCACTCCTTCCAGAACTCCAACTCCCACTATTCCTCAACTGGATCATGACCTAAAATCACCAATCCTACCACATTTTAAGTGTCTCTCATCACTCTCATGTTCCGCATTTCCCGCTTACCCAACATCAATTCCATGGTCAACCACCCTTATAATGACTCACATTACACATTAGTCACTGCAATGGTGACTGTAATGTAACTGCATATCAAATCTGTAACCTCACAGGCACATTAACTCCTCAACCCTCCCTCGCCTTGTGGTGCTCACAGAATTGCAGCCCTGGTTGAATCCAGCTCTCTGTTTATTCCATAGCTCTCTGACTCCCCCCATCTCAGCAATCCATCCCCACAGTGGAACATGGACAGAGAAAGACATTACAAGCATGCTGATTGGTTTTATTTTAAATTAAAGTGAGTCCTTGGTTCTTAATGAAAATGCAACGATGTTCCCTCATCCATTCATTTTCTCATTTTCCTACATGACTACTTTTTCACTGTCTGTCCTCCACCTCCAGCATCTCCATCTCCATCCTCATTTTCCATTGGTGACATTGCTTCTAATTTCACTTAGGAAATAAGAATATTAAAGGGAATTTCAATCGATCCATGTATCATATCTATTCATCCAGTGACAACTAAACTCACACATTCTTTCTTCCCTTCTGTGTCCATGAATGACCACCATGCTCCCTGCTTGCGGTATAATGCCTGTGTCCTAATGCCCAGAACCTGTGACTATGTTAGCTCACATGATGAAAGGTTTTTGCAGATGCGATTTAAGGTAAAGGTCTTGAGATGGCGGGATTATCCCAGACTTTCTGGGAGGGCCCATTGTAATCATAAAAGTCATCATTAGAGGGAGGTAGGGTCAAAGTCAGAAAAGGTCAAGTGCAGGCGGAAGCAAAGAGAGAGATTCGAAAATGGCCAGGAGCCAAGGAATGCAGGTGTCTTCTAGAGGATGGAAAAAGCAAGGACATGGATTCCCCTCTAGAGCTTCCAGAGGAAATGCAGTCATCTGGACACCTTAATTTCTGACCATCAGAAGTTTAAAATAATAAATTTATGTTTGTTTTAACTTACTACATTTGTGCTAATCTGTTACAGCAGGAATAGGAAATAATATATCATTAAAGTCGCCGGCTTCTCTTGTACTCCAGCCAGCAATTCTGCCCTCTCTCCTACATCATCAAATTTTCCTTCTTTTGGATAATCTGACTAACACATACATATACTGATTTCTTTAATTAAAAAAAAAATAAGCACAGAACCTCTCTTGACTCTCCATTCTGCTCTAGTGACGAGTCCATTTCTCTGCTACTTATTGTAGCAAACTTCTGAAGAGTCTGTCCTTCAGTCTCTGTTAAACCCTCACCAATCAGGCTTTTTACCTTCCACTCCTGCTCCACTGAAATCGCTCTTGCCGGCCAGGCGCAGTGGCTCACGCCTGTAATCCCAGCACTTTGGGAGGCTGAGGCGGGCAGATCTTGAGGTCAGGAGGTCGAGACCATCCTGGCTAACACAGTGAAACTCCATCTCTATTAAAAACACAAAAAATTAGCCGGGCGCAGTGGCAGGCGTCTGTAGTCCCAGCTACTCCGGAGGCTGAGGCAGGAGAATGGCATGAACCCGGGAGGCGGAGCTTGGAGTGAACTGAGATCGCACCACTGCACTCCAGCATGGGCAACAGAGCAAAACTCAGTCTCAAAAAAAAAAAAAAAAAAAAAAGGAATTGCTCTTGTCAAGATCATGGATGACCTGCAGTTACTACATCTATTGATCTATTCAAGCTTGTCTTTTTTTATTTTTATTTTTTTGAGATGTGGTCTCACTCTGTTGCCCAGGCTGGAGTGTAATGGTGCAATCACAGCTCACTGTAGCCTCAACCTCCCCAGCTCAAGCAATCCTCCCACCTCAACCTCCCATGTAGCTAGGACCATGGCTGCATGCTATCATGCCCGGCTAATTTCTGTATTTTTTGTAGAGATGGTGTCTTGGTATGTTCCCCAGGCTGGTCTCAACTTCTGAGCTCAAATATCCTCCTACCTTGGCCTCCCAAAGTGCTAGGATTACAGGCATAAGTCATTGCACCTGGCCTGACTTGTCTTTTTTTTTTTTTTTTTGAGAGGGAGTTTTGCTCTTGTTGCCCAGACTGGAGTGCAATGGCGTGATCTCGGCTCACTGCAACCTCCGTCTCCCAGGTTCAAGGGATTCTCCTGCCTCAGCCTCCCAAGTAGCTGGGATTACAGGTGCCTGCCACCACGCCTGGCTCATTTTTGTATTTTACTACAGACACGGTTTCACCACATTGGCCAGACTGGTCTCAAACTCCTGATCTCAGGCGATCCGCCCTTCTTGGCCTCCCAAAGTGTTGGGATTACAGGCGTGGGCCACCTCACCTGGCCTGACTTGTCTTCTTAATGGACCCATCACAGCATTTGACGTAACCTGTTCTTCACTTCTTGCAGCCCTTGCTCCATTGTGTCTGGGACATCACACTCACTTCGTTCTCCTCTTTCCTCCCTGGCTCCTTTTCTGTCTCATCGGTGTTTTCTCCCATTTCATGGATCTCTAAATGTTGGGGTGCCCCAGGCTCTATCCTTTGATCCCCCTTCTCTACCTGTCCTCAGTGATTCCATCCAGTCTTACGTCTGCAAATGCCATCCTTAGGCTCCTGATTCCCAACTTTATGTCTCTGGCCAGAACATCTCACTCCAGGCTTGGGCATCCAGCCCCGCGCTTTGTATCTCAACCACAAGTCTGATCCGTGTCTTACACTTCCCTCTCTAAAACGGAACTTAGTCTATGGCTGCTCCTCCCTCAGGCTCTCCCAGAACAGCTCATGCCCCACAGTCCCTTTAGTTTCTCAGGGCAAACCCCTTGGAGTCAGTAATCCTTTGCTGTCACCAGATTCACCCCATCAGCAAAATGCTTGACTCCTCCTTGAAAACACTTTCAATGTTTGGCATATGCATGTCTTCTTCCACTTCCGCCACATTTCCAGTCGCCTTTATCTTTTACCTGGACTGAAATGAAGGTCAGACCACATCACATGTCTGGTTCTTTCCATGGGTTTCCCATCTAAGTAAAGGCCAGAATCCTTTCCAGGCCTGACAGGGCCCCACCTGTCCTGGTCCCCTCCCTCTCTGAGCTCATCCCCTGCCACTCCACCCAGTCGGCTTCACTCCACCAGCCCAGCCCCTCGCTGATCCCAGGGCCACCCCCGCTCAGCACTTCCACTCCCGGCCTGCTCAACTTGCTGTACCCGTCTTAGCCTCCTGGGGCTACTATAACACATGACCACAAACTCGATGCCTTAAAACATCCAGGATGTGTTATCTTATGGTTCTGGAGAGCGGAGGTCCTAAAGCCAAGGTGTCAGAAGGGCTGCATTTTCCCTGGAGGCTCTGGGGGACAGTCTGTTTCCTTGCCTTTTCCAGCATATTAGAGGCTGCATTCCGTGGTTCCTGGCCGCTTCTTCCATCAGCACAGCCAGTAGTGTAGCCTTTTCCAATCTCTCATTCTGTCATCACTTTTTCTGACTTTGACCCTCTTACCTCCTTCTTTTTTTTTGAGATGGAGTCTCTCTCTGTTGCCCAGGCTGGGAGTGCAGTGGCCCTGTCTCAGCTCACTGCAACCTCCACCTCATGGGTTCAAGCGATTCTCATATCTCAGCCTCCCAAGTAGCTGGGCCTACAGGTGTGAGCCACCACACTCAGCCCCTCATACCTCCCTCTTATAGGGACCCTTGAGTTTACATTGAGACCAGCCAGATAATCCAGGATAATCTCAGCATCTCGAGAACCTTAATTTAATCATGTCTGCAAAGTAAACTGACATATTCACAGGTTCTGGGGATTAGGACATGGACATCTCTGGTAGCCATTACTCAGTCTGCCACACTCCTCTATCTTGAATAATATTTCTTTAATTATGATTATGATTATTATTTTTGAGACGAGGTCTCCGTCTGTTTGCCCAAGTTGGAGTGCAGTGGTGTGATCACAGTTCACTACAGCCTGGACCTCCTAGGCTCAAGTGATCCTCCTGCCTCAGCCTCCTGAGTAGCCTAGCCACCAGCATGCCTGGCTAATTTTTTTATTGTTTGTAGAGACAGGGTCTCACTATGTTGCCCAGGCTGATCTCAAACTCCTGGCCTTAAATGATCCTCCCACCTCAGCCTCCCAAAGTGCTAGTATTATAAGTGTGAGCCATCACAATTGGCTCTTCCTCTAATTATTAATACATCTCTCTTGCTTCCTTCATGTCAACTTAATGTCACCTTCACGTCAAGACCACCCTTGACTATCCCATATAAAACAGCCATTGGCCAGGTGCAGTCACTCACTCCTGTAATCCCAGCACTTTGGGAGGCAGAGGCAGGTGGGTCACTTGAGGCCAGGAGTTTGAGACCAGCCTGGCCAACCTAGTGAAACCCAATCTCTACTAAAAATACAAAAATTAACCAAGCCTGGTGGTGCGTGCCTGTAATCCCAGCTACTCAGGAGGCTGTGGCACTAGAATCGCTTGAACCGGGAGGCAGAGGTTGCAGTAAGCAGAGATCGCGCCACTGTACTCCAGCCTGGGTGACACAGTGAGACCTTGTCTCAAAAAATAAAAAATAAAAACCCCCCAGCCACCTCCCACCCCAACCCTATGCCCCCTTTCCTCCCTACCCTGTCATGTTTTCTGTAGATGCATCACTCCCTGACAGACCATGTATTTTCTTGTTTGTTTTCTGTAGTGAACGTAAGCTCCACAAGCACATGGATGTTTTCCTGCTAGATGCCCAGCAACCAGCCTATGTCTGACACGTGTAAGTGTTCAGTAAATAATTGCTGAAAGAATGAGTGGCTGACAGCAGTGCCAGTCTCCCAGCATTTACGTATTGGGTACTCAGCGGGGCCCTTAGGAGACCAACGAACACCAGCAATGAACCTGTTTAAGGCAAACTCCAAAGTAGAGGGGCCGAACTGTGCAGCCCAGTTTAACCAGGTTCTTCATAACAGTTGCCACGTAATGAACACTTACTCTGTGTGCATCCCTGAGCCCAACACCGTGCTGTGTTGTCTCACTGATTGTCCTACCAGCAAACGTGGGTGGTAGTGGATGCCTGTTTTTCAGAGGAGGTCCCTGGGAGTTCAAGCTCCAAAGGACCTGCCCCATCTCTGCTGAGTCCAGAACTCATGTTCTAAAGCAGATGGGAGTGTCCTTCCACTGAAACCAGAAACAGCCTCCTCTCCGCCCCTGGACGCAAGAGTGGTTGTGCCAACACTCTTAGTTCTTGCTGTAACTCCAAGAAGGTGGACCAGTCCGATGCTCCAGCTCAAATGACGTAATAATTTTATTCCGCTCTTTCTGACCTCGTGTAAGAACCTGCCTTCTGTCCACCCCTCCAGAGTGCCTGCCCCTCCCCCAGCACACAGGGTTAGTGGCCTTAGCTCCTCCCAGGATGCCTACGCTCCTCAGTAAAGGTTTGAGTGACAGATCAAACACCCCACAGGAGTGCTTTATTTCATTTTTAAATAGCTTTGATTTTTCAATCAATTCCCTAAATGCCACCAGAACACAAAGAAATCATGGGAATCCAGGAAGTTCCAATAGTTTATTATACAACATGCTCCTGTGGCTGGTGGCTTCTTAGATTCTCTGTGAGGCATGCCTGGGAGGTGGTGGGTGTATCCTCCTCCTCTCTCTCCCAGAGGTCTCAGCCTTGCCGGCCTTCCGCTCTCCTGTCCAGAAAGGCCACCCCACAGCCTTTAGGCCCAAAGAGGAGCAGAGCATCAAGGCACTCACATGGCTTTCTGTGTGTACGTTAGACTGAGCCCAGCAACACAGAGCTCTTAAATTGCGACGGGCAATAAGTTTGAAGAACAAAACCATTTCCTTGTACCCTTTTATATTTTTCTAAAGTCATCTTGATTTTTCACTTCATTGTGGTGTTGGGGGGTTTTCTTTCTTTCTTCATAATGGTTTTATTTCCCATAATCTTAAGAATGAAAGGTATCTCTAGTGCTTGTGTATTTATTTCTCATTCCTATAAACTTGTCTTGCTCCTGACTTAACTCACCTTGAGCCACAAGCCCAGAACACCAACGATCAACTAAAACAGGGGAAGCAGCAGCAGTGGCTGGCGTGCACTGAAACCGGGAAACAGGCTATAGAGGAGCGTCTTCTTTCAGGCTTCAGGCTGTTTCTGTTCCTTCAGGAAGCCTCAATCAATCACTCCCTCTTTTCCTAAGAGAAAGGGACTCTAGCCTTTTCTTATTAACTCATTCCTCATTACAACGATGGCGTTTCTCTTCACCAGCAAAATTGCTCAAGCTGCACCTCCAGCCTGTTTCCTTGACATTGCTTTCTGTCTCCCAGGTGAGCCTTTCTTCGGTAGATTTGGATTGTTTTCCCTTTGTTTTTTCTATTTTTTATCATTATAATCCTTTCTTCACACTATTTTTTGGGTACCCCCTCCATTTTCCCTCTCTTTTCTAATTCTCTTCACTTCATAGAGCACCAAATGTCAATAAATATGTTAATGTCATTAA